TAAAAATATCGGATTATCCATTTGTTAATTTTTGAACAAACTGTCAATTTCTCTGAGTATACGCGAGAATTCTCAACGTGTCAATTCTTAACATTTCTCGCTTCTGACGTCACATCTCATGAGATGTCGGGAAAGAGCCCATAGGAGCCTTAAAGCATTTGTTGCGAGATAACTGTGCGATCGAAGTTGTCACGTTCAAATACAGAAATCTATATAAAGATATAATCTATATAAAAATTTTCTGGTCTATATAAAGATCTATATAAAGATTTTCTGGCCATATTGACATATGTGGTAACCTTCAGCAGTTTACTGTATCCGTGTCGTAATTTAAGCTAAATATAGACGAAACGACACGCATGGAATGTGGATTTTATTAAAATGTCTAATTAGCATTTTGTTCAGTGACATCCCAATGAAAGGAAAATGATTATTTTGAGCAAGACAGATATGCTGGCGACAGGTTATGGGGTTATTAAGATAAATCAGGAATATTCTCGATTTAGCTTGCATCAATACTTATAACGAAACGCGGGTCAAGACCTATATTTAATCAGTACGTGTCGATTAATAATTAATGTTCTCGTGTAATCAGGGAAAACCTTACTGTCGACGCGACAGTCTAGATAAAAGTGAAAAACAGAATTGCATCCTACTCCTATTATATTATTGAATAATGTGTTCTTTGAGTTCAATAATCGCGGAAAATATAAATTTATTATGGAAATAATGTTGCAGAATATAAATTACGATTCTGATAGCAGACAAATGCAAAAGTGTTACCCGCTAAAGCAAAAGGATATTGCGTATATATATAAATAGTACTTCGTATATATTATATTTCATACTTCAAAGTCCTCCTTTTTTTCATTATTGTTTTCGTAACAGTCATCTCCAATCGCAATTTATAATATAATTTTATAAAACATACAACAAATAAAAATAAATAAATCACAATATATTTGCAATTTCCGTTGAAATATTTGCTTTTATAAATGAATGTTTTTAATTCATTGTCAATTTATTTTTATAAATAACAAAATAATATAATGCTTTCTTTATACGTTTCCAATACGATAATGCGGATAAAAGCAATGTTCATCATTGTACACAGCGTTTGCTTTACTTATTGTGTATAATAAAATCCCATTTTGCTTCCACAATAAAATCCGTTATTATTATATAATATGTGAAATATGTTTAAGAGAAAACGTGACGATTTTAATTTCGTTTAAGAAAAGTGTTATCAAATGTAATCATCGCCTCTATTATTTTAATACAGGTGGTGACGCCAAAGGATCGTCTGACAGCCGGCACGGTCGATCAGGCTGATATGTTTTGCGTGAACGATCTGCACGTCGATCTGTCCGCGATTCAGGGCTTGATTATCGAGGGCCTCGCGACCGCCGTTCTGATGCTGGTGGTGTGTTCCGTCTGGGATCCGAGAAATCAGAAGAATTCGGACTCGGTGCCGATCAAGTTCGGTCTTACAGTGGCCGTGATGGGGACTGCGGTCGGGCCCTACACCGGTTGCAGCATGAATCCCGCAAGGACGTTCGCGCCAGCATTATGGAACAACCAGTGGACGCATCACTGGATCTACTGGTTTGGCCCGATCGGCGGCGCCATGATTTCCTCGTTCATGTACAGAACTATTTTCGGTGTTCCCGACGAGGTCGAGGAAGAGGAACCCATACCCGAAGCTGTCGCGCTTAACAGCGTGGAAATCCACAAAACGGAGGTGAGACGAACGATTAATAACCGATTTTTCATCAATTTTTATAACTACAAGACATTTGAATCGTGCAGCTAGCAGTTATAAGCAAAAAAGCAAGAGGTGTAATATTTAAATTTATATAATTAACTTTCCTAGAATTCGAAGAAAGACCTTTGCATATGAAAGGAACATTTGAATATTATTTTAAAATATACAATGCATTATTTATTAATTTAGATATTATAGAGAAATATTTAATTTGAAATATGCAACTTTAACGTTCGTTTCTTGCGCGTAATATAAAATATTTAAAATGCTTATCTTCAATTAATTTTTCCCATTATACTTCTCGAATATAATTGACGCAACATGAAATAATCGATATAGAACCCCCGTTTTATATGCCCTAAACTAAGATACAAAACGTATGCGAATCTCGCACGTAACCGGAACCATGTCCCGTTTCAGCGATAATTCTTGTTAACGACGTTTCGGCGAAATTAACGGCCATTTTCGTGCGACTAAATGACCCCTTAAAATACGGGAGAAACGAGGCTCACGGTGGCTTTATCATGTAAACGCCATGCCCACCATGCATCAAGACTTTTCGCATGATGCGGATTATCTTGTAAGGGCCGGCCATAAAGGTCGACGATAAATCGCTATGGTGGGCAAGGAAGTTCAGTAAAACTGGTTTTACGGGACGTTACCGGAGAGCTGGATTTAACGTCGTCGGTTTACCCCGATCGTCGATGCGCGAGCTCTAAAGTGGATAAGGAAAGAAGCCGTTCGTCCCCAACGATATTGTATCTTATTCTTATATACGTATCTTCTTATTTCACCGTGATCGAGAACCGCGATTTTATCTGCGCTCGGCGCAGCGCGTTTGAAAGCCCTTTGAACAAAGACAACCTGCTTCGGGGTGTAAAAGCGCTTTGAGCGTAATAACGAGCGTAGTGCGAGAATATTAAGACGATCCTTAAGACCGCACGTAATTCTACGTAATAAAGTCTCTTATTCCTTCGCACCGTCGTCGTCCAAGGCTTTACATCCGTTACTAAGAAACGGATGTATACGGTGAAATGTTCTTTTGATTCTTAAACATATATAAGCACGAAATTTCCAATCTCGGAGAAAATTAATTTTATGCAACCTCATTCCAACTGACATAGCTAGAAAATGCTTTAATTTTAATTAGAAGCAAAAAGAGCTCTTTCCATTCATTTTAATTAAAGCAACGGTGAATATTATTATGCTCGGTGAATATTATTTGCGAAGCCGCTATTTATTAACCGCAGCATAGCGCGCAGTCAATATCCGTTATTCAGCCAATCCCGTGATTATCAGCGATCCTCAAACATCCTCATTTTCCCGTGATATCATGCCGCTGAATATTTCCGCGATTCGATTTGCGGCTTTCGGCTCGATCACGACCGCGTTCCGAAATGACGCCCCGAAAATTACCTGACATTCCTCTGGCGTTCACCTTTCAGCAGTCCTAACTTGATGGCGAGAGACCGAAACGACCGAAAGTGATGAGCGGTAAGAAGCTGAAACTCGGTGGACGCTTTCTCGACGCGAGGAAAACCATCCGGATTTTCGGGGTATAGGTAAGATAGGTGCTTTAGAATGCACCGGGCGATTCAATGGCGGGACCAGATGACCAGGATCGCGGGAAGCTTCAAAAGCTCAACCAGGATATACTCACAATCCCCGAGATACACGAGATAGACAATCGTCTCGATTCGACTCGTCGCGAATGGTGTTGGTCGTCAACGTGAACTGACACAGCAGTCATCACACGCGTATATCTCGTACAACCGCAAGTCACGCCGTTTCTCAGTGAGTTAACTGTAGAAACGCGCACATCGTTATAAGTCGTTACCTTCGACGATCCGGTCTAAGCTTAAATGCATAAAAAAAAATTTGGATGCAATGCAATCAGATTAATACACCTCCAATTTTATCGAATCTAATCAAGTCCAATGTGATGTCTGCCTATTTATTTAGGAATATAGACGATAAGAGACTCTTGTATGATGTGTGAAAGCATCTTGACACAGTGCCCTTGTAATCGTGATCTAAATATAAAAAATAAAATTAATTTCGAGTGAGCCATTATTTTGCCACTTTCTCTCTGTAATATAGTGTACATTCGTTTGTTATAAATGTCTCGATCATCAAAAGAGTTTATTGCGTGTGTGAAGTGCATGTATGTACATATATATTTACTTTCTCTTGTTATTCACTGTCATACTTTGATCTACTTTACATATATGCATTAGTGATAAGTTGATAAGTTACACATCTGCGATCTGGTGAGAATAAAATGGCCAATAAATAAATTTGGAAAATGTACCTAGTCATGTATGCGTGCGTGTTAATATCTTAACTTTTATTATACTCAATTTGACAACGAATAAAATTATCTAACGATATAAAACTAACCTGTGTCATATTTTCGTTCTTTTTTACTCTTATACGCCTCCCATATTGTTTAACATAGTTATACGTAATCTATTTATACGTAGCAATATTTTTATACGATATCGCTTGACGAATCGTTTCCACGTTATTCGCTCAATTAAGCAGAACAGACTATTTTGTACTCGTGTTTGTTGGAGTCGTCTGGTTCGCCGGAAGCGGAAATGTCGATCCCCAGTAGCCAGCGAACGGGCCGACCGATGACTTTTTACGAACCAATTTTTGTTACATAGATACACATACATTCGTTATTTCCATAGTTACGCGTATGTACTCGCCCGAAGCTATTGCTATATAGCTGGAAAAAGCGTTTCGTCCGTCGGAGAAAAGAATTCTTTCCTGTTGATACGGTGGCTTTCGACGGAAACGATAGTTTTCGAGCGTCAACAATTCACCATTTATGTACTTTATCAAGAGACGCACAAATATACGTGTAAGTACGACAGAATCTCATTAATTATTTGCCCACCCGTAACGTATACTATCTTACTCTTATTTCTTGTGAATCTTGGCGACGAATGACCTACTTGCACAATTGCAAAAAGGAGAACAATTTAACCGAGTGTCATGAGAGAATTGAAATGTGGCATTTAATTTTTAAAGTTTGAATTTCTTCTAACTACATTTCTTACTTTTAACTACAAACTTTAAAAGCTAACTTTTTAATTTGTTCGATAGATTTGTTGGAAATAATATTTCTTATGATAAATATTTGATAACTGCTTGTGAAAAAAATATAACATTTTTGGAATGGATATCATAATGAAACTGCTATGTGCTTCCTATGGAAAATAATGTTAGTGCTTCCGTAATTTTACCGTTTTATAATTTTTTTTAGTTGTATTTATAACAGAACAGATTTTGTGTCAACATAAATGTGCAATTTTATTTCGTATTCTATTGTTATAATACATTAAGAAAAGAATGCTAATAATCTTCGTGGCATGCGCATTTTGATGAAGTTTTACGCTCGTGCAATAAATGAAAGCGAGTAAATAAAAATAACAACTTTGATTGAAAAAGATTGAACGAGTGTCATTGAAAAAATATGACATGCGTAAAAAGTGTAACTTTTTGATTTTTCTCTTCGCCGCAGGCCGTCTGCACCGACAGAATTTTGCAACTTGTTTTCGCGACCTACGCTGCCTGCCTGCGATCGCATCGGGATACAAACACTTCATCAATTTATCCGGATGGAAAAATATGACAAAGACCAGCGGCGCGGTGTCATCCCCGTGCGTTTTAATCGTTACGCGTTAATCGGCCATCGATTGCAGAACCATTTGTACGGGCGAAATATTTGTGTAGTATCATTCGTAGTACCGTTTAAATTATAGTCGCCTAACAAATCACGTGTAATTGTCTCTGAGTACGTACGTGATCATTAATACCGGGGGGCTTTGACTATGATATATTGCAACGCGTGCGCTGTGGAAGTGGGAACCAACAATGGGGGAATATTCACAGTACTTTTGTTCGTCCCGTAGTAATATATTAGACCGTCTGTTTTTATTACAATAAGCCATTATCAGCCGTGTAATTTCATGTACCTTAATAGGCGAGTAAAAACAGCTCTCTAAATATTGTGAAGCGATGTATGTGTGCAAGCGCGTTACATACTATTCATCACTTCCTCTCTATTGCTCATTCTTGTACACGCAATTTTTTTTATTTCAAAGTAGCAATAACATAACAAAGAATAAAAAATATATTTCTTGCTATAATTATATTTTTTGCCTTTACTATATCTCTTTTTAAAGAAAGCTGCACTAGGTCAGCGTTAAATTGCGAATTAAATGTCACGAATTAGAAAAAGGGAGCATTGACGCAAGATTCTTTCAGAAGAAATTGATTTGGGCGCAAAAAGGGGCGTGTTATCGGGGGTAATGGTGACGCGTCCCGAATAACTTTCCAACTCTCCCATTCACCACGTTCTGCGTTTGCAACGTGTCGCCTGGCGCACCAGCCGTTCGTGACTGCCTCGTAGTCGGGGTTTGCTGCAGTACAGGCGCATCTGTCAGTGCCGCTCGCGGATATTGGAAGCGGGTCGCAATGGTGCTGCTGCATTCTCGCTCCTAACAATGCTTCGTGAAATTTCGTGAAAATTATCCGAGGGGCACGAGGGAGGAGGGGAAGAAGTTACGGTCACGTCCGTGCGAATCGACGATGTCCTTTCCTGTACAAATATCATGCTGTGCTGATGAGGGAATATCTGATATTCAATTAAACGCGGTATATTAGCTGTCCAGGGGAGTGAATAAAACAGCGGAACTGGAACTACGAAGCGACATGTACAGGGTGTTTATTTCGCGAGACGTTTATTCGCGACGATATTCTCAACTTTTCTGAGTATAATAATAAAATGTAGGTGGTGTTAGCAAATTAAGTTTTACAGATGAATAACAGCCAAATGTTGTATTATAGTTAATTTTATGTGAAGTTGTTATTGAAATCTTAATTTTAAGCTTCAAAAGAATTGCAGAAATAATAAAAGCTGCTAAAATCATGTCATAGGGGATTCACATGTCTCGTAATGTCGTTCAGAATATTGCTTGTCAACGAAGGGATACGAACTAAATGTGACAATAAGCGAACACCCGTAATATACGTAATGTGCGCTGCATTTTGCGCGAGTGGGTCTCGCGGGAACGATAACTTGTGACGTGGCGTAAAATTAGACAAGAAACTTAAGCAATGTGGAAGAGTGGTAGTCTAAAGAGAAGAAAAAAAAATAATAATAAAGGAATTCGAGATTAAAGAAAGAAAAAAAAACGAAAGAAAGAAGGGAAGAAGATTGCTCGCAAACGAAACTGCATCCGGATGATGTCTCGCGTTCGAGCCACATTTTTCCCTCGGAAAAGAAAAGTAATATTTCCGTATGATTTACATGCCGGGCGGCAGGTCGCTCGTTAATAATTCAATTTTCAATCTGGTCTTAATGCTCGCCGGGTTTTCCCCAACTTCGTCTCCCTCGTTTCCACCTTCATCC